GATCAAGGCTCCACATTTGAGTCTAAGCTTTTCAAAGACATCTGCGACTTTTTGCAGATCCAAAAGACCAGGACCACTAGCTACAGGCCACAATCAAATGGAGCTGTGGAAAGGTTCAATAAAACTCTTGCACAGATGCTGACAATGTATTGTGAGAAGGATCAAAAGCGTTGGGACGAGTACTTGCCTCAAGTTATGATGGCTTACAGAGCTTCGGTGCATTCCAGCACAGGGCGCTCACCCAACAAAATGGTCTTTGGGAGGGAGATAGTCCTACCCATGCAAGCAGTCATTGGGAGGCCAGAAGAACTTCGCGATCAGTCTGATGTTGAAAGTTATCTCTTAACATTGGAAGATAAACTGAAACAAGCTCATGAAGCTGGCAGAAGATCCCTGAAACAAACAGCAGAATATAGGAAAAAGAACTATGATCTCAAGACCAAGGGACGAAGTCTTAAAGAGGGACAAGCTGCATGGCTCCACAACCCTGTCCGGAAACGTGGCGTCTGCCAGAAGCTCACTTCAAGTTGGAAAGGACCCTATCTCATAGAGAAAAGGATAGACGATGTCACCTACCTTGTGAGAAGGTCCCTCAAGCAACCTTCCAAGGTGTTCCATGTGGACCGGCTGCTACTCTACAGAGGGAGGAACCTTCCCTCTTGGATCAAAAGATGTCAGCAGTCAATTTCAAGAAACCAGTAGATTGGCCCTTGAGAATCTGTCTCAACACTTTTTTGGAAAAGTTCAGAAGTTTATCTTTATTGTTAACAATGTTGGTGTTTTATTAACATGTAAATATATAGTTGGATGGAACAAGTTGTGTCCTGAAGAAGAATCTTGAACTGATGTGATGAAGTCATTTCTTGCATGGATTGCTCTAATAAGTCGTAGGAGCTGTACTAGGACTTAAATCTTCTAAGGGTGGAACCTTAACTTGTGTCATCATACAGCCAGATATCTGCAAGCAGGAAGAACATGTTGATGAAAGTGCTGCAGCGACGACGATGGATCCATCACGTACGCAGTAAGCCTAGGCCTGATCACCCTGGAACCTGCTGACTTGATGTTGTTTACTGTTCTTTCTGTGGAAATTGATCTGGGCATCGTGATGAGAATGGAGTACACAGAACGGATGTAGGTGACCCACGAGAGATTGAAGCTGTGATGTGTCCTGTGATGCTTAACATTTATTAGGGATCCATGCAAACCAGAGTCAGGGTTGTAAAGTTGACCTTACAACATAAACTTTAGTGTAATTGAATGTGATGGCATTTAAGACAGAATTGTATGCTGTTGCTTTATTGGGTGTATGGGACATCCTAAAAGAAAACATTTGTGTTACAGAATACACTACCTAATTCAAGCAAGTATGGCAAGCAAGTATGCATGTGGAATTGGAGCATGTGACAAGTCATTCCCAACGAAGAAGGAACTGAAGAACCATTTTGCCGCTGCACCTCATCATAAGCTAAAGGTTGCCTGCATCCTATGCCCAGTTTTCCAGACCTTTGCAAGGGTATCGGAGTGGAAGCGACATTGTGAAGCCAAGCATAAAGTTCAACTGCTGGACTTGGATCCCGACTTCTCATCGGAGAGCAATGCTGCTTGGTTCTCACTTAACCCGACAGTTTACAAGAGGGTGGTGCCTGCTCCAGCTTGGAATACACCTCTGTCATGTTCCACTGGAAATGGTCCTCCTTTGGGCATCCACCCAAGGAGGTGCACTGAAGACTGAGGAGGAATGGGAAGAGGGTTGGGAAAACCTGAAGACTAACACCATCAAGGCTGTACCTGCTGAGTCATCTGAAGCTCTAGACGATGTCTTGTCCATCATCACAGAGGGCTTACATTAGCATCGGACAGGAGGAGGAAACACCAACCATGGAATACAATCCCCTTAGCAGCCAGTGTGATGCGTCCAACCCAGCTCGAGCTGAAGAACATCACCCTCCAGAGTAGCAATGCCACGGCCATGTTCTTCGCGCCTGGAGGTGGATTTGTTTATGAGGCCTGCATCTCTGAAGAGGCTTATCATGGATGCTAAGTCGCTCGATAATCTCACTAGACGGATGAGGACTCTTGGAAGGGCTGAACCCGCTCCTCGCCCAGTGGAAAGGGCAAGCAATTGGAGGGAGGCCAGTTGGAGACAAGAAGAGCCACTTTGGCATCGCTTCTTGGTATAAAGAAAAGCCTAATCAACAATGTCACGCACTGGACCTCTCCATTCGCATCGAGAACGCCACCAAAGTCTCGGAGACGAACCCCCAGAGAGACAGCAGAAAAGATCTAGGAATGCCAGCAAGTCCCCCGCTGAAGGTTTCTTCCAAGTTTCCTAGAAGAGTTGAGGGTACAGGCCACCAACCACCCAGCTCTCCCAGGAGGTCCAGAGACGAAGACACGGGCGAGAGAAGCTAGAAAGATTCTGTCTGTCGGCTGCAAGCCACTCTTGCCACCAGCTAGACGAGACTGGACGAATCACATCATCCGTCTCCCACCCGGCAACAGAAACATCGCTTGGCCTCCTAGGAGCTGGGAGACCCTCAGCCCTGACCAGAGACTCCTCCAGTGGGAATTCAGCGGCAATGACTCTCGAGGAAGGCCTACAAGGACGGATCCCAAGGATGGACAGAAGTCTCCTCCATGACAAGTGGAATATGCTCGCTTTCCTGGCACAGCTCTAAACGCTGAAGACCATTCACCCTCCAGAAAGTCAAGCTGCTGTACAATTATCGCACCTTGCAAGACATCTCACAAGGAAGGATCTGTGGTCAGACTGCCAGAGCCACGATCCTGATGTACCAAGCTGCCCAGCCACAGGACCACCGACACCGACAGAGTTGTTCACTGCATTGAGGCAGAGAGGATCGGTCTTCGCCTGAGGCAGATTTATAGGTCAGGGGACCTGACCTTTGAAGAGGGGGATGTTGTGATGGCCATCACTTAAGATTTAAATAATACTCCTGCATTTTAATTGCAAAATTCATAAGTTATAAAAGCTTGTAAATGATTAGGCATCATGACATATCTGTTAGGTATTTCCCATCTGTATTTTTGATAGTTTATGGCAGTGCAGAAATTGTTATTATAATTATCGTAATTAGTTTTGCAGCTATATACACAGTATTATTGGCAACCTCGCTTTTCCACGTAATTCAGTGTTTTGAAATCTGTTTTGGTAAGAAATCTAGCAAAAGATCGTAGCATGTTCTTTTGAGCATTATAACATGTATTGCATTCGTAAAACATCATAAGCTAGTGCCATCACATTACGCTATTTGTTTAGAACACAGTTGTACTTTGTAAGAGTCAATGTCAACAACGCCTCCTGTCAGAACGATCTTGTTTACCTTTTCAAGAGTTTTGAATTGACCGTAACTTTTGACATTTCCTCGCTCTAAGCCGCCTAGTTACTGAAAACTAACTATCCGATATGGATTAATCTTACCTTGTCCTTCGACAAACTGATCATAATCCCTTGACACTCGTTAATTATCCATTCTTTGGTGAATTTGTGATCAGGGCCGAGCTACATGTTTTGGTGGCGCCGCCATTTTAACTTTGTGACAGCCAGTCTATTTCGCAAACGGGTTACCGCTACTTTTGACTCAGCTTAGTGTTTTGCATTGTAAAGTTTATGTAATCTTGTGAATTACGTGAGGAACCCAGAATTGTACTTTTCTGATGATGTATCAGGTCATGTTTCAAAGCCGATGTTAATTCTGACAACGGGAACTATGTGATTCTCACTGTTGTATTCATACGCGATGTTCAGCATCATTATTTATGAACGTGTTTTTCATAAATATGACTTCCAGTGCCACTGTCTAATTGCATAAGGGGCTGAGTCATGTTTTTAAACATCTTATGTGTCAGATAAACTCCAATTGCCTCCTGACATCTGTAATCTTCCTCTTTGAATTGTCCATCATAATTCCCAGCCGATGCTACTTGTTGATATTACGCCCCTCAGCAGGCAGCAAGGACGAAGCAAGACGAGAGAGAGACTATAATTGTTGATCTTATGATATTGGAAGGCAATTAATGAATTAATTACACATAATTAATTGGTTGGTAAAATAGTCATTTTCCTACCTGATTACCTCCTGAGATAATTCGCCTTCCTCTTTATTTCAGTGGTTTCATGTTGTGAAAGTAGATCCCTCAAAAGAATAAGGACGTAACGGGACGTAATATCTCGTAATTTGATTGGTCTAGAACTGACATGTGACCATTTTCTCACACCCTATAATACGGTGAGACCCATGTTGGGTCATTCTGACTTTGGCAGTCTACAGGTCAGTTTCAAACCAAGGGCAGATAATTCAGCCCAAAAGTTCCCCTTGTCCTTACATAATTTATAATAGCTGATGCTATAGATAGACTGCACTTTTCGAACACAGACGCAAATTAATATCTTAGTAACTATCAAGTTATTCAGATTACCCAGATAATTAAGCCATCACTATATCTATATAACAGTAAAGTCAAAGGTCATACTTATATTGCCCTAACACTGGTCCATGCACATAAACCTTAAGCTTGAGAGGGATGTACTTATTAGAAATAGCATTGTGCTGAAGTACATTTATACCCATGAATAAAAAGCTATTTATTCATCGAAAAGAAGTGTTTGACTCTTCCTGAAAACAAGACTGACAAGGTTTAATTGAAGTGTGAGTCCCGGCCGCCACAGTACAAGCAGCCGCACATACACATACACACGCATGCACGTCGTCATATGAGCAAAATATTCTCAAGCATGATGTTAAACCCAATTCCATTACCACCACCACGTGAAAGTCTGGACCAGACAATCCAGTAACCGACATTATGAGCATCAATCTACACAAGGGAGATACAATAATCTGATTCAACCAAGGCAACAAGTTGGGCTACCAAACACCAGCATGGGTCTTCACAAGAGTTCCCTACCTTAATATCATGATGGATTCAATCAATAAAAGGTTGTATGATAATGAAATGGTATGTTTTGATCATAGATAATTGTGACATCCGGAGGCATGCTGGTACAGAAGCTGAATGAGAAGGACCTGCAGTCGGAGAAGATGTCCAAGTTTGACGGCACGATGGTGTACGCCCAGAACAAGAGACAGCAGGTTGTGATGACCGAGCAGTTTGCCAAAAGTCACCCACACGTCCACTTCTCCTGCATGCATCCAGGCTGGGCTGACACACCAGGTCAGGGGCTTGTACTTTTATTAGGTCATCAGTCATCCAATCTATTTGAAATGCCTCAGTATTTGCGACCATCTGGAGAAACATACTGTAATAGGGTTTGGAGGGATACTCGGGTACTTGAATTCGGGTCAGGTACAGCTGGAATCGAGTCCTATTTCAAGGAATCGAGTACCTGGAAAGGGAGAGAACTCTGTTATGACAGGGGTAGGTAACGCTAACAATATGGACGACACATGCTAAGTTGAGTGTTTTGGCTCATTTTGAACTGGATGCAGATAGCAAGAGAACCAAATGCCGACTCTGTGGTACCATGGCAATCTACTGCGGAAGCACTACAAATTGAGTGCATACACATCTTGAACTAGACGTGTTCTTTACATTGTGTAACTGTGTTCATTGCTTATCAAGTTAGTTCATTTCAGGTTTTCTATAATAATCTCTGTCAAATCGTGATTGAATATTCAGAAAGTTGACAGAAGTTATGTATTCCTAACATTTCCAGGTACTCGATTCCGATTCGGGTAGGTGTATGCGGGTACTCGATTCCAGGTTTTCCTACCCGTCCCAGTCCTATACTGTAATACAGGTGGTGCCACAGATATTCATCCAAATTAGATCAATGATAGAAAGATGGTTGTTATTAAGAATTTATACATTTAACTCTATGATATTTACATGATATATGAAAATGAAGAATAGGTGTACTGTGTATATACATGTGTGGGTAGATCATTCATTTACGCCAGGGGCGGTATGGTGGCCTAATGGTGAAAGCGTTTGCTCATCATGCCAAAGGAATGTGGTTAAAGCTGGGGTGATATGGTGGCCTGGTGGTTAAAGCGTTCGCTCATCATGCCAAAGGCCAGAGTTTGATTCCCCACATGGGTGCAGTGTGTGAAACCCTTCTGTGGTGTCCCCCACCGTGATACTGCTGGAATGTCGCTCATTCCTTCCTTCATGTTTTTGTGATTATGTGAATGTAAGACTTTTTGTGTTGCCCACAGCGGTGAGATCAGCCATGCCTGACTTCTACAACAAGATGAAGGACCGACTGAGGACAGCAGAGGAGGGGGCGGACACTCTCTCATCTGGCTCGCTTTGGCACCGGCAGCGATTAAACAACCCAGCGGGCAGTTCTTTCAGGGTGAGACACATTGAATGAACACACACAAAGCTAAAACTAAAACTTGGATAATTGGTGTTTTTTAATTACAGGAAATAGAATCTCTTTGTCTAACTTACTTCAGTACTTAAAATAAATCTTTTTTCTGTCACCAGTGTTGGTGCCATGTTTATTTGTTCTACAAGACCAAGCAATGTGCTATAACAAAGCAAGACCAACACATTTATATAGCGAATAGAGATCTCCTGTATGTGCTGGTGGCGTGCTTCATTCAGGATTGCTTTATAGATTTATATAGATAAGCATCGAATTTGAAAGTTTGCACTTGGTCTTTATTGACAGCATGTACGCTAGTTCTACGCTGATGGTCGTATTTTCTACTGTTCTGCAGATCGGGTCGTAGTATCCAAGCACCTGCCTCTAGCCTGGACAAAGTCCACAAGCCAGGAGGAAGAGGAACTCATGACGAAACTGGCAGCATTCAACTCACAGTTCAAGTCCCCATTATAACCTCATATACCCATACTGATATACTGAAACTCAGGCTTGTGATCAAGTGGGAGAGGTTAACTGTTTTGTCATCCAGTCATTGTCCAAAGCCAATGAGCGACCTCAGTGCTACGATGTCGTAATCCTATGTTAACGTATGGGAGTTACGAACATCTTAGTCCTTTGATGTCATTAGCCTATGTTAACATATGGGAGTTACGATCTTTGCGCTCTGATCACTTTTTGAAACAGGACACAGGCCATATTGGTCAGCCTCACAGCGACTCAGGGATACAACATGCATCAACAGAGTCTGCAAGCCAGCAAGTTTTCTTCAAACTCAGACAACAATATTGCAGTTGTTGCGTGCCTTCAGGCCTTACTACCATGTACTAATGTGTTCTGTCAGTTTGCTGAAATATTTTCTTTCAGTAGTTTCACGATAGATATGACATATACTTATCTGTGCACATTGTAGGCTGTTCATCTGTATTGTATGTATTAGTTGAGATAACAAGAATCAACTGTAGTTGAAATCATGTGAATAGTACACAGAACTCTGGGAACTATTGGTGTTCTGGATGTTTATGACATTTATTACCTCAGTGGTGTTTACAGGGCATTATCACTGTATGTATACCTCCCATGTTATATGTAATCTTATGCATAGACATGCCTGATTTATCCTTGTTGCTCATGTTTGTATTGGTTTTTGTATATATTGTTATACACTCAGATAAAATTGATATTTATAGAATAAAAACTTTACTAACAAGTCCTCATTTCATGTGTCAGTCTCACGTCTGTGTGGAAAAAGCTGGATGGCCTCCATGCTGGTAGTGCCTGTATATCATTAACATGGCATCTTGGTTTTCACCAAGTGGTGCTAGATCCTGTGTACAGCTCACAAGGCAAGAGAAGTCAAGCAATGCCGTGATTGGAGAGTATTTGAATGGGTCATGTTCAGCAGCTTGGCCATTGAGGAATTTCTTGGGTTTTGGTCCTGCCAAGCATAAGGTACATGTTGAACGTTTCTTGTCACCTCAGGCAAGTGAGCTTGTTCAAAATATGCCTTTTGGGGTTTTGCATATCCTTGTGAAAGTGGAAGCGATAATAACTCATAGAAAATATGTCTCTCTTTATAGAGGTAGGTGTTTTCCAGCATGAGTATGTGGGGAGAATTTCCTAATTTATGGGTTTCATTACTTCTTTGAGTGAGTTTAGTTTTATAATGCTTTTAGCAATAATCCAGCAATATCACGTCGGGGGACACCACAAATAGGCTTCACACATTGTACCCATGTGGGGAATTGAACTTGGGTCTTCGGTGTGACGAGCGAACGCTTTAACCCTCAGGCTACCCCACCGCCCCATTATTTCTTTGATGCCAAATACACTGATTGTGTCTGCACAGAGCATTTAACAGTTCGGGGGGGTATTGATTGAACAAAAATGTTTTTGGATGGATGGTGGATGGACAGAATTCCTTGGTTTAACTATGTACCTTTTTAGGACATGTCTCAGCTAATCTCTGTCTGAGAATAATATCTCATTATAACATACTGCCACCCACACCTACACTATCTCCGAGACTGACAAACAACAGCAGACATATTTTGAATGACATCAGTTTTAATCAGCATCAGTATGTAAAAGTCAACATTGAGCACTGAAAACACACATTCAGTACTTTCCAACATCAATAGGAATTTCTCACGTCTTTGGTCCTGTCATCAAACTTTACTAGAAATATCACAAAACATATGATAACATATTGTGGCAATTTATCATTGAGCAGTACTTGGGGAGGAAGTTAACATTGCAGTTTGAACACGTCACTGCATATAAGGTGATGGGGCTCAGGTGGTCTCAATGATGGCTGTGGAGTGATAGCGCTACGATTGGTTGTTGAAATTAAGGGTAGAAGACAGCACAGAAAGATTCTCTGACTAGAATGCACATCCAATGGTTACAATGTGTGACCTCAGTAGTTGCTCATATCATCAACCCCCAGGTTTCTTGACTCGGAACACAGTTACCAGCTGCCTTCTTTGTCAGTGAAACCGCCTCCGTGGTGTAGTGGTTAGAGCGTCCGCCAGGAGAGCGGAAGGTCGCGGTTTCGATCCCCGACCGCGTCATACCAAAGACGTTAAAATATGGTACTTGTTGGTCCCTGCCTGGCGCTCGGCATTAATGGGTACAACAAGGACTGGTTGGCTTGGAGTCAGTATAATGTGTCAGCATGGGGTATTGATGCTTCACTGCGGCATGGTATCTCAGTGGGCTAGCACTATAAAACCAGCTTCAGTCTGGGCTAGTACAAGCAGCCGCACATACACATACACACGCATGCACGTCGTCATATGAGCGAAATATTCTCAAGCACGACGATAAACCCAATTTCACCTCACCTTTGTCAGTGAATGGGTGAGTGAGTTGAGTTTTATACTACTTTTAACAACATTCCAACAATATCACAGCAGTCTATATTGGTAGAGTAGCCAACTGTTGCCCAAAGATTTTTGCACCTTTACCTAAAGGACCATATATGTATTTTGTTTATATACAGAAATTCTGATCTTGCTTATCCCATGTAAAAGAAAGTCTAGGTTTAACTACACTATGTATTCAACACACTCACTCACTCTAAGCCAACTGGTGATATTTCTGTTTATTGTTTAATTCTACTCTCAGCAATATTTCAGCTATAAGCTGCTGCCTGTTAATGTTCAGGTTTCGACAACCCCATCCAATGATCAACATAATGAGCATCAAACCACAAAATTGTTATTACAATGACATCCACCAAATTAGCAAGCTCGTCTGCCAGATCACCTCTTGCGACAACCATGTGTTGTTGAATCTTCATGGGGATAAATGGTGACAGAGCCATACAGGCTTACTGGTAATAAAACAGAATACACTGACTGACTGACTGACTGAATTTGGTTTTACGCCGCTTTAAGCAATATTCCAGCAACATCATGGCAGGGGACACCAGAAATTGGCTTCACAAATTGTTCCCATGTGGGGATTCGAACCTGGGTCTTCGGCGTGACGAGCCAACGCTTTAACCACTAGGCTACCCCACCGCCCCCACAGAATACAAACATCTGGAGACCTGTGTACGTACATCAGGGTTAGAACTAATATTCAGCAACCCATGCTTGTCATAAGAAGTGACTAACAGGATCGGGTGGTCAGGCTCGCTATATTGGTTGATGTGTAATCGTATCCCAATTGCATAACTCGATGCTCATGATGTTAGTCACTGGATTGTCTGGTCCAGACTGGATTATTTGCAGACCGAAATGTAGCTGGAAAATTGCTAAATGTGACAGTACACTACAAACAAAAAAGACTCAATTGGATGTTGACAGAGTGAGGTGTATCACATATTTCTATAAACCTAGCTCTCTTGTTCATTCAGCATTAAATATTACCACAATATATTATCAAACTGCATTCTCTTCATGGAAATCCATTTAAATGTACACTAGTCATACCATACATGTATATACACACAGTTTAATGAAACACATTCTGAACATAAAGAGAAAAAGTACAAAAACTTTAGAAGATAAACATTTCCAGAAGAGTGAAATATAGAAGAGAATTGATGCAACTCTCCCTTGCCATATCAACCTGCACATGACCTGAAATACATATACATGATCAGAACAGCGTAAATGGTGAAAATGAATAAAAAAACCAAAGACATTAAACCTAACCGCACATTAAACTGTTAAGAAACTCAAACTCTTGGCATATGATATTCTATTCTCAGAAGAGTGAGTGAGTTTGATTTTACGCTGCTTTTAGCAATATTCCAGCAGGTGACACCAGAAATGGGCTTTACACATTGTACCCATATGGGGAATAGAACCTGGGTCTTCAGCATGACGAGCGAACACTTCAACCACAAGGCTACCTGACATCCCTGTACTCAGAAGATACACAGCTGTATACACATAAGTGAATATTCATAAGAAACTGTTTCCATAAAATATCTTTTTAATCCCTGAAAATCTTTTATTTGCTTTCATGCAAATTTTATGCTGTTTGAATACGAATATGAAACCCGTCATAAAGAGTAAGCATGTAAACCTTCTTTGAAAAGGAATCTTAATATTTTAGCTGTAAAGTGCTCAAATACGCTAGTAGCATTCACACATACATTAGCACTGATACTTTATACATCTAAGGCCATAATATAGGCAGCCACAAGTGGAATCTATTTACAAGCCTAGAAAAACAATATGTTGTCAACAAAGCACAATTAATATACATACATTTAAAAGATGTACTCATCTCAACAATGTGTCTTACCCAACTAGTAGGCTTCACTGTGAAAGGATAAGGGGATGTTGCTTTAAGTCCTCTACATTGCCAAGGTGGGGAAAACAGTAAAAGTTCTAAAGCTATCAGGGGTGTTAACATGTCCGACAGCTTGCATGATTTATAAAAACTTAGTGAGGGAATGTGACTGTCGCCAATATTCAATGCTCCCGCTATAGGAGGATGACCTTTTAGTAATTGAGTCCAACCCCACCCCCCTGCATGCCTCATCAATGTCTGAAATATGATCTTTTACTCAAGTTTGCAATATCATGTGCCAGGTTACCTTGAATGAGTGAGTTTAGTTTCATGCCGATTTTAGCATTATTCCATCAATATCACGGTGGGGAACACCAGAAGTTGGCTTCACACATTGTACCCTCATGGGGAATCGAACCCGAGTCTTATGACAAGTGAATTTCTTTAACCACTCAGGGACCCCACTGTCTATACCCCACTAACAACATGCTATTAACCAAGTGACAATGTCTGACTGACAGCGAGTGAGTGAGTAAGGTTTCTGCCACTTTTGGCAAATATTCCCGCAATATCACAGTGGAAGACATGAGAAATAGGCTTCACTTATTGTAAAAGTGTACTGAATCGAACCCGGGTCTTTGGCATGACGTGTGAATGCTTTTGCCACAAGGCTACCCTGCCAGACTGACTGACTCCAAGTAGGCTCTTGCAAGCATGAGTTATTGGGGTCTTATTCAGACCTGATTGGGTTCCACATCACTTATATAGATTCACTACTTACTGTCACTTCATCATATTCGACATTAGAGCACTCACTACTGCATAGTGAAGGATACAGGATAGTTGAAACACTCTTACATTCATATACAACAGTACATACATTTACATCAAAGAAAGAAATTGATTTTGATTTTACATTGATAACCTTTGACAACACTTGACAATAGGGTTCAGACTTTCAACCAATAAACTTCAAGTTCAGTCTTTATATATAACCAAACAAACAATCTTGCATTTAGTAGCAAATCTTGAGACATCTTGCTTCCAACCTATCAACGAAGACATTCAGTTTTAACATGTGGACAAGAATAAATGTATAACTAATTTCCTAAACGTTTCAAAATAGTACGACTGGCAGAGCACATACAATCCTGTTTCCATGGAAGCAGGAAGATGGTTCTACCAAGACAAGATGTTACTTAATGATCCAGCAATGGCTTAATGATCCAGCAATGGAGATTCAGCTGAGGGATGGTTCATCCACGAATGTAATTTATACATTTTGAGTTTTCAGATGTCGAAACAACCAGAGCATTACAAGCTTCACTGACAGAATGCAGGACATTAACAACAGACATAATATCTCGGGGTTTGCATAAGGGTTCTCCACAGGCTAACATCAAATATTATAGCAAGGGGTGAAAGTTAATATAACACAAACACATTTCCTATGGCCCCAGCCGCACACTGGCAGGTCTACAAATTACAGAAATGTCTTTGATGCATCGTGAAATATATCTTCATCATATCATCTGTTTTAACAAATTTTGTAACTAAAAGCCAGGAGACAAATTAAAAATGTCATTTAAAAAATATATAAGGGAAGTTAACAATCTATGGATGAACAACTTCTTTATTACAGAGATGGTCATTCATTGATAGTTATCCTCCTTACTGCTCCAACTTCTACATGCCTCTCAAAGAAGTCAAAAATATATATTGAATCAAATAATATTTCTTGTCACACAAAAAATAATGCTTTGGGAAAAGGAAAACTAAGATTAAAATAGTGTTAGTATCACTAAGCATATACATGCAGATACATCTTCATTCATTTAATGACAGGGAATATTGTACATCGCTTTTTTCATGATAATTCTAAGACTATTTAGCAATGCAAAACAAATTCAGCATTAAAACATCATCTAATTAATAATTCCCAACTGTAATCCACCTTCATGATACTTCCAGGTCAGATGTTATCCAGACGACCATTCACAATTTCATTGTGGTATGTGAGACAGATTTCAAATTATCATTTGAGAGTTTTAGGAATAATTGCTTCAGTTATTTAGAAGGTGAACTAGATCTTACTATGTGTCGCCCATTTAGCAACTGACCAAAGTACATCAATTCTAGGAGGGTTTTATTTCGAGTTGCTGTTGGCAGCCTAATTTAAAAAAAACCTCACAGGGTCCAAGATTACATAGTTTTCAAAAGGCAACATTCTAATTAATATAACCTTGCATTCAATCTGCAAAAATATTAAACACATTATTGACGTATTTTATCTTATAAAATACATGTCGCTTTCAAAGTATAAATATTAAAATGATACTAATAACCTGAACTGGGAAATGTATCATACAGTTTGGACATCTGTGATTGACTTGAGTCTAAACAACCTCCTTTGAGATACCTCAGAAGCTCCTACAAAGACTATATTAGATAGTAAAACAGCTAGTGTCTGTCCTGATCAACAGGGTCCTTCAGTACAAGACAGTTTGGGTACACGTGTACACTGTACACGGAAGTGTTTAACATAGAGTTAAAGTTGCTACATGTCTTACAGCACCAACATTGCACTGTCATTCCATGTGACTTGCCATCCATTATATTTCAATGACGCATTGTTTGCAGAAGTGTTTTACATTGCCTCTGAAGGAGTAAAACATTTGTACAATATTCCAGCTCCATTCCATTGTCGTTCAATGTGACACACCATCCATATTTCCATGACACATATTGTTCGCTCGCTCTCCCTCACTATAGGTTGCAGATATGTACAAGGCACCTCAGTAGACACTCGCTACCTGTATCACCAGAAAACTGCTGTCATTACATTATTGTCACACAGCGTCAGTAATTCAGTAATTCTCCCACATATGCACACATTGTCAGAACTCCAGATAAGCTCTGTATTTGTGCAAAATAATCACAATAGACCACCATAAACCAATAATTTTAGTAGCTTTCATACAAATACACAAGGCAATAAAATACCAATGGTGAAACAAGACTGTGCATTTACCCAACACAGCCTTTCTTTCTAGATTTCAGCACTGTATATCATTACATATCTACATTTACGGATTGTTAATGTTTTTTCGCACATTTATTGAAGTATAAAATCGCAAAGCTTTGTAATAATATACAGACTAACCACATGTATATACATAATCTCTAATGCTGTGAATAATGAAGACAGACTGACTGAGTTTGGTTTTACGCCGCTTTTAGCAATATTCCAGCAACATCACGGCGGGGAACACCAGAAATGGGCTTCACACATTGTACCCATGTGGGGATTCAAACCCGGGTCTTCGGCGTGACGAGCCAATGTTTTAACCACTAGGCTACCCCACCGCCCCTGAATAATGAAGAACTATGTGTACTGGACAGATGTAGACTAGAAGTTATTGAAATACAGTTTTGTGTAGAATTATGTTCACTCACTGGATATAATCCAAGGGTGTAGAAATATATAGAATACCCTAAGAAAACTCTCAATCCTTAAGTGAATGAAAACAAGTGAGTATATACTCAACAGCTAAATATAGTATCTGGAACCATGCAATGCTGTTTTCAAACTACGAACACTGTAATGACATGTTTGGCTGAAACAATGCACTGATCCAACGCATTACATGACTCAAATCATCTCTGAACCAATGCGTCAAATAGTTTTACAAACAGCTGGTGATGAATATTTTAGCTGTGTTTGTATACCTTTATTCAATCTTTCTTGTGGCTTTAAAACACATCAAACATTTGAAATGATGAAAAAATACACCCTTTGTTAACACTTTACATATGATATTTATACAATTGTACTCAGAATTGTGTTTTGTATTGAGTATTTCATCACACAAGTAAGATTTTATCACGATGTGTAACGTACTGTGACTTGAGTGTGTTTTTTAAGCCTCAACAAACAAAAAACACAAGTTGATCGTATGCCTAGAGGAAAATTCTTTGAAACTATCTGAGCCTTTCTGAAAACAGCTCTATACATCCCCATACATATCTAATAATTGCAATAAAATAAGGTGAACGTCATTTCATGATCACCCAACAAGCTATTCAATAACATCCAGTGTCACTAGTTATCTCCCTTTGTAATTCTAAATAAGGAAGTATAGGCAACATTAATATGATAACTGATCAGACTGGGACTATCAGAACACACAAAATACAGTATCACTAAGTATTTTGAGTATTTCTATAATGAGACGAAATGTCATTATCATGTCTCGAATGTGTTTCAGGGAAATAGTCTCATATCACATCAACTACGTCATATAAAAACTTTCTTGCATCCCTTATGTGCAGCATGTTTCATCTTGAGACGATCTGACTACCAGAGTCAACCCCTCTTGATAAATATACAATCTTGACTGATCAACTCTTACAATTTCAATTAGACTAACATCTTGTCTCTGAAATGAACAAATTTTACAGAAAAAGAAATCACTACTGTTAAATTACAAAACATGTCATTCAGACTGGCAAACTGCACATCACATGAATTATATCTTATATTTGATCAATATTTATCACATGAACTTCCTGTTAAGTTGATCTTTCTCTCCATATTCTGTTTACCATCTGGTTTCATTTATCAAGGAAGTTTACATTGAACTGCAAGATTACGCTTTCAAGAGCGATATCTGTCCCACAATTCAATTGAAGAGGTCACATGTGTTTCTACATTTTGGGGTGTTGTTTCGTAACTGGTGAAGGAAAAATGAACAGCTTTGATTCAACACTGTCATTTCCTAATGGAACTTTTGATCATTGCACAATTATAGCCAGTAAGGTTGTATGAAGTTGAGACAAGAAATTCATTATGGGAATGAACCATCGGACAACTTCACAAACAGATTCACTGAACATGACAACATCCAGAATACTGTCATAGACATTGGATCAGCATCCCGAGACCGAACACCCCAAATAGACATACTAAAACTGCATTGAGACAGGGGTGCATATTTACACTCAACACAGCAGGCCAAAAATTGTCATCTCGAAAATCTCAAACTTAAAGACATGACTTCATCTGAATCACTACTCAGACCACAAGCATCAGCTGTAGCCAGGGTCACAGACTGCCATACATTATACAGGAGGATTCTCTACACAGTCACTCAAGATATGACACACTATATCATGTACATATAAATAGTAAATACAATCTGGAGAGGGGAGGGCGCATAGAATAAATGGAATCATTTTCCTGTTTACATGTTTAAAAAGAAAAGAGTCAATATTTTTGTTCCATTTAGAAAGGGCAAGATCAAGGTCCATTTACTGGAAAAACATTGTGTTTAGCTGTACAATATAAACAGATCCAGGCGTCCTGTGACCACAAGGTAAACTACAATAGCGCTGGAGGTGCCCAGGCCATGAAACAAGCACCTGCTACTGAGCAGACAAGGCTGAAGCAGCAGCTATGATGGACAGACAGACTGTCAGGATGAATACATTACTTGATGACTTCTAGGACTTCTGTGCATCCAGGGCTGGAGAACACTGCTAGAGAACACTGCTTAGATCCCACACCTGGAAATAAAATGTCGTTAGATTTTAAAAGTGTCTTCAGAAACTGAACGGGGCAGTGGGGTAGCCTAGTTTGAAGCATAATACAAGAGTGCGTGAGTGAGTGGGGTGTTATGCCGCTTGTAGCAATATTCCAGCAATATCACCAGGGGTGGAAACAACTTTAAAATTGTTAGTGTACTCCGGTACAGTGGCACATGTAAAATCACTAGCCCTGATAATTTTTCCACTATACCGTCTGTTTTTTAAAAATAAACAACATAATTAACATTGGAAAGTCAACTGGACACCAGTACAGTGTGATATACAAATTTGCTTGCCCGACAGAAAAAAAACACTGGACTCGGACATCGGGCAATGGGTTATTTCCACCCCTGATCACAGCTGGCCAATACAGTAGAGCACATAGTGCTGACCCAAATGATGGAATACAGAGAAACCCTGTTAGTTTGGATACCCCTCCTTCCAAACAATTCCTTCTGGAACTTGTTCCCATAGTGGGACAAAACAACAATGCATCACAACTGTTTACACCCTGATACAAACATCTATCACAGTTTCTCGTTGAGTGACAATAATCTACTTTTACCTATGTTTTCTTTAATAACTTCCATCAAAACAAACACAAATTACAATTAAAATGTAAATATTTTCATCCATTGCACCAGAAGTGATACTATTGCATAATCAATATCATCAATGCAGTTGATAGAGTTACCTCTCTTATAGTGCTACAATTTGATTGGCTAGGCAGTATACTGTGTGGTGTGTCAACACATTCAAGTTTAAAATCCCCGCCAAATGTAAGGGACCGTTCATAATTTATGGCTAGAGGCATTCTCTTCCCACAGAGGTTACTTGTCATACCTTCCCACGAACCTCTGTTCTAATACGGCCCTTTCATGGTGCGAGTGTTCAGGATTCGTGATTGGTTGCAATCAGATTTAGTTGTGCAATCAGCGACGTTGTTTCAAAAGTGATCATTCGAAAGGCCTCGATAATTTCCGTATGCTTCGGGAAAACTAGAACCTATTCCCCTGTGAGATGCACAAACGTTTCTTCTAGACAGAACTCGGTCATGTTATGGCTCATCAATGGCATCTCCATCGCCCTCGTTGACAACGGGCAAGCTAGCCATTAAATGTCTTGTGTGTCACATCAACCAAAGTCCCCGGCAGAGGAGGGATATTTGTGGTCCCATATTTGCTTATGTTAGTCAAGTTGGATCTAAGTCGATGTAACACGTGTTCTGATTGGATAGAAAGAAGGGAGATAATTCGTGTTGCGATTTTTTGCCTCTAGGGGATTATACGAGAACCAGGAAATATGGCCGTATTAGAACAGAGGTTCGTAGGAAGATATGACAAGTAACCTCTATGGAAAGAGAATAGGCTAGAGGGGGAGATGATGATATTTATAGAGAAGCATGTACAATGTGAATTCGCCCCCCCCCCCAAGTCATGTACAAAAACAATGACCGCCCACTCCCATAATTATTAAGCAGAATATTTAAATATTATTATGTACAAGTACATGTGTACAAAATTGATAACCCCTACCTCCCCAGAACAAACGGGTGACCCCCTCTGCCCACCCACCCCCAAAAAAAAAACCTAAAAAATCATCATCACCCCCTAGACATAAATTATGAACGGTCCCTAAACTGTCACGGTGGCAGGTATTTAGCCCTTGATGATTCATGCAAAATCATGCAATGTAACGGATCATCATCTCAACAACATAAATAACAATTTGACAGCTCTGCTGTAATCCACACACCTTCATGACCCTGTCTTTACCTACAGTCAGTAGCCGTTTCCTCGTCTCGTCTAGGTGCATGTACATGATGCTGTGCTTGGTGTCATGGAATGTTGCCAGAGGCGCTCGACTAGGGGCCAAAAAGGCAGTCAGTACAATTATGGCTACAGCAATACAGCAGTTAAACAGTCAAGTTGGAAAAATACAATAATATCAGACATGAGAACGGCAACGCACAAAACACACTGAAAATTTAGCCAGGTATCTTGGAGGTCTTTTATTGCAGATTTACATCTATCTCAAAAACTTCAAAATGAAAAAAAAATCCCGGAAATCCATGGAAACTTCTCATGTCTGTAATTCACAGTGAACCATATGTGATACTAGATAGACTGCTCATTTCTACCGATAAACTTGCCATTTCCACTGTACTTATCCTACATGCTGTGAAATAAAAAGGATTACTATAAAAAATATAGTTCCATTCAAGGATAAAACCGACACACAGTGTCTTAAGACATGGACCTTGAAAACAGAATTAACAGCTTAAAAGGTACATTTACTGACTGACTGAGTTTGGTTTTACGCCGCTTTTAGCAATATTCTAGCAACATCATGGCAGGGGACACCAGAAATGGGCTTCACACATTGTACCCATCTGGGGATTCGAACCCGGGTCTTCGGCGTGACGAGCCAACGCTTTAACCACTAGGCTACTCCACCGCCCCAGGTATATTTACAGTTTCTTCAGGCCTTGGAGAAAGTTTCAAGAAGTAAATCCAGATTATAACGTATAGATGCTTATTTCTCGGAGGCAAACAAAGTGATAACTCACTCTTCATCTGTAATGGTTGGTAGACACTCGTCACAAACCCTGACTTCATACTCGTATCCCATGGGAGGGATAGTAGACTTAGAGTTGCTGCACTTGGCACACATTGCCTTGCCACACTTCCTACAGTGATGCTGAAACAAGTGACACAAACATATACCAGTTAGGAAATACAGTACAACCAGAAATTATTGAGAAATTAAGATTGTAATTTTTAATTTTTTTTCACTCATTACTTACGTATTAAATGTGAATATTAGCAGAACATAACTCCAGATTCAAAGACAGGTGAACAGTTAGTATTTTGTCAAGTCACCATGGGCAGCAATGCAGGCTTCAATGCGGCGTGGGCATACTACTGATCAAAGAAGTTAGAAAGTTGTGGTCCATGCTGTCCCAATATCAGATCCCCTCTTCTTTCATTTCAGCAATATTTGTCAGATTTGTCTTATTGACACTTTCCTTCATAAGTCCCCAAACATTTTCTATTGGATTTAGGTCAGGGCTATAGTTTGGCAAATCTAATAATGTCATATTTTGGGTCCGAAACAAGGCCTGTGAATGCTTTGAACGATGTTTTGGGTCGTTGTCCTGCTGGAAAATCCAAAACTTTCCATAGAACATGTGAGCAGATGGAAGTAAATGTCCCTCGAGAATATCTGTGTACCGCTCACTGTTCACATTCCCTTCAAATACACAGAGGGGTGTTGCCCCTAACACAGATATGCCACCCCACACGTTAAATTTCGGACTGTACTTTGGGCGCTGATACAAAGTTTTTTTCAGTTTGTTTGGTCCAGAATTTCAGTGTATTAGGAAACAGCCACACAGAACTTTCATCTGAGAAAATCACATTGTCCCAGTTAAAATTTCTATGCTGTAAGCACCAGTTCAACCTTCGCTCCTTTTTGTTCAGGTTTCATGATCGGTGATGGAATTCCTCGACTTTTCTGCCAACCCATTGCATGCAGCTCAGTTCTAATTGTCTCCTTACAGACAGCCACAGTTCCTCTATCAATCATATCCAGCCTTAAGTTTTCTAAACTCCTTCGTTTGTTTTTTAGAAACAAGAATACCAAGCCGCCTCTTGTCACCGACAGTCAATTTTCTGGGCCTACCTGCGCCTGCCTGGTGCTCAATGCCATATCCATTTGCAATATTTTTCAAAACACGATAAACAGTGGACAAAGGGATGCCTGTTCTACTTGAAATCACTTTAGCTGAGCTGATGTCCTTGTTATAATACTCTAAAATCAACTTCCTCTTCTCTAAATCATCCATACTGAGGGTCACTGAAAATGTTGTCTGCTAGCAAGTAAACAAAGGGGGGATAACTCTTCACAAACTAATGAAAAAGGATTAACGGAGTTGTCTCTCTTGAATGAAACCAAGCACTTAATAGCTGGTCAAGGTTGTTTATACTAGAAATCCAATTAAACATATTCCTAAAATTCTCAATAATTTCTGGTCATACTATACATCAACATCGGTTAAGTTAGAAGGCATTTTCAGCTAATTCTCTGAAATATTGTTAGGATCCTTGCCTAACCATGCAGTGGTCAAATAAAGGGCCCTTGAAGATAATGCAACCTCTTTCCTATTAACTGATAACACTGACCTGCCTGTTTCTATGTTATAATCACTGATAATGCAACGTCTTTCCTATTTCACTATATGATAACACTGACCTGTCTGTTTCCTATGTTATAATCACTGATAATGCAACCTCTTTCATATTTCCTATTAACTGATAACACTGACCTGTCTCTTTCTATGTTATAATCACTGATAATGCAACCTCTTTCTATTTCACTATATGATAACTTTGACCTGTCTGTTTCCTATGTTATAATCACTGATAATGCAGCCTCTTTCCTATTTCCTATTAACTGATAACACTGACCTGTCTGTTTCGTATGTTATAATCACTGATAATGCAGCCTCTTTCCTATTTCACTTTAACTGATAACACTGACCTGTCTGTTTCCTATGTTATAATCACTGATAATGCAACTCTTTTCTATTTCACATTATTTATGAATAACACTGACCTGTCTGTTTCCTATGTTATAATCACTGATAATGCAACCTCTTTCATATTTCTATAAATGAATAACACTGACCTGTCTGTTTCCTATCATCTTCTCTTCCCACATCTTGCGGACATTCCAGAAGAATGGAGCACCACATTTCTGACACACATCACTCTCCTTCCATTCTGGAGTCTGTGAAGTGTATAAGATATATATCTTAATATACGGTGACCACATGTACATGGATTATTTTTGAAAGCAACTGATCCTTTTACAGAAACTAATCCATCTTAAAAAGAAATGCAGGGCTCTAATTAAGCATTTAGAAGTTGCCCTGATGCAACCTAAAACTGCCAAATGCAATTTCATATTTAAACCAGCTTGCATGTTAATATTTTGCTGCTCAAAGACCAGAGACTTCAGCTGGAACACAGAATGATATAGAACTGCCTTGTGTACAATGTGTAGTGACTGATGATTACACAGACAGTGGATGAAGGACTGCTACTGTTATGAAAGTTTACAAAGCAAGATGGGATGATTTGTATTGTCTGGAGAAACACAGCTATTGCCTAAGGATCAACCCTGTAATGCTAACCTGTAGATCTGATACTTATGTAGTTCTGATACCTGTGAAGAACAAGCAATGGTTTACCTCCAGTCTCTCTACATCCATCTGCCATATCCCAAGCAGACCGTCGTCTGATCCTGATACCAACTGCTTTGACCCCATAGCATAAGACAAGCCTTGTACCTTGTCGCTGGAATTATACAGCACATAAGTCCATGAAAACAATATGTCACATGAGGAAATGCTTTGAGTCGAGTGAGTGAGTGAGTTTAGTTTTACGCCGCACTCAGCAATATTCCAGCTATATGGCGGCGGTCTGTAAATAATCGAGTCTGGACCAGATCCCTGGTGGTCAGGCTCGCTGACTTGGTTGACACATGTCATCGGTTCCCCATTGCGCAGATCGATGCTCATGCTGTTGATCACTGGATTGTCTGGTCCAGACTCGATTATTTACAGACCGCCGCCATATAGCTGGAATATTGCTTTGAGTCGAGCTATTTGAGGATTCTATGCCACGTTTATAGTGGAAACTGTGATTAAATGTGGGGTAGGACCAAAACCAAGTGGTTAAAGCCTGCACTCATTTTGACTAAAATATGAGTTTGATTCCCCACATAAGTACAATATGTGAAGCCCATTTCAGGTGTCCCTGCTATGAAATGGCTGGAATATTGCTAACAGAGAGGAAAAGGTTATGACCAATGTTGCTCAATGTGTCTACCAGAGGTTGAAGTGTTAATGTGTTGCTAAGACGACCTTGGTTTCAGGATCCGGAGTGGGGCACCCTCACCACATTGCTACATGACTGCATACATTAAGCCCACCTCACACAAGCATTCTCCACAAACTGAGATATACTCACTGATGTCCTTGCAGTTCAAATGCTGTGCCTTTCTTCCCCCCGATGTCCCACACGATGATGGACTGGTCGAAGCTCCCGGTAAACAGCAGACTGCGCTGGACGTCCCAGGCCATAGAGCGTATACTTCCTATAAACAAACTCTCTGAGTAAATTTACCTTCAAGTCATATATTTTAGGTTGAACCTAGACAATTCATTGACATTACTGTCATCCTGGACTGAGTTTTCACAACCATGTAATCAGTTAATCTTTCTAAGACCTCATGGAAAGTATCTCATTCTTATTCTCAACTTTCTGTTTGTTGTTTAACACTGCAGTCAGCAATATTCCAGCTGTATGACAGTAAGTCTGGCCCAGATACACCAGTTATTGGCAACAAACCAAGCCAACATTGTATACTCCCACAATATCAACCAAGTCACTAAATCTGACCATCCTAACCTAAGGGAATCAAGGTTTTTATATGACATTAAAACTTATACAAACCTGTAGAGGTTATGAATTCTTTGAAGAAAGTCCTCCTTGGGGTACATATAAGCATTAAAATGTCTATTTTAAATCCTACGACAGTTGTAACTATATTTTTAATAAAATATTTACAAAACAAAAAACTCGTTTTGTCTTGTGAGACCACCCCTACAGGGCCCCACCGGACCAACACAGCCAAGAGCAGGTAACTCTCGCCGTCTACCTCGTACCTCACTTTTCATGCTGAACGTGTCAGACAGAATGAGGGGAGGCGGGTGGCCGTACCCAAGGAGGACTTTCTTCAAAGAATTCATAACCTCTACAGGTTTGTATAATTCTTTTCAGAAGAAGTCCTCCTTGGGGTACATATAAGCATATGACAGACTCCCAAAGATATTTGAGGCGGAGTGGCATTCTGTCTGGCAACAACTAAACCCGTGGTGGAGTGAAATCTACAACCCGATCACGAAATAGAAAACACCGAGCCACCTGACCGCTGATGTCAATCAGACGGGCGGAACTAGAGAGCCCAAGCTTATATGTCAATTGGCTCAATATCAATGACATAAAACCCCGCCCCCAACCATTACAATGCAAGGAATGTATGGGGACATGCCGAAACAACTCCCAACCCTAATATAGCCCCGGCCAGACAAGCGTGGCAAGAGGTATAAGGGTAGGGAAAGCTTAAAAAATTTAAACGCTACAAAGCCAATAACCCAGGAGTCGAGCTAATAAGTACTGCAAACTAATGCTCGAATGCACCTTTGTTTGGAAGAGGGCTTGCCGGGACCTCGATAAAACCCAGAGAAATTATTAGCCTCGCTAAAACTTTCTGAGGAAATCGAACGAGTACAAACACCATGCATTGTATGCAGTGAAAACACCCCACCAAACACTCTCGGCGAGGAGGGTAAGTGTAGGCCACCATCCCACAAAGCCGATTAACACAGACTCCCAAATACCGAATGCTCGGGAAGAGGGAAAAACTGTAAGGGTACAAAAAATCACCTGAATAGCGAAAAGCGTAGCCGACCATGTGTTGGCTCACCATTACACTAACCTGGTCACATGACATGCGGCTCGAAGAGAGGCATACCAAACAGTGCCCCGTGGGGGGTTCGTACCCAATTCCGTCGCAAGACGGGTTAATAGCATATGACTGGTTAAAGCGTTCAAAACGGACCCCGCCCTCTTGAAGGGGACGTAAGGGACGTATGTACACCCAAACCCGACCCAAACAAAGGATGGTAAGGCTAATACGATGTAGTGATACGAAATATATCGACATTGAACACAGAACCGATACCAATGACCAGTTACTAACTTGGTCAGAGTGGCAGGTCACTCTCCACTGGAGAGAACCGAAAGACCGAACCGAGCACGATCCTTAGAATGCGTGTCAAGTTGGTAATGGCGACTGAAGGCGTTCTGCTGGCTCCAAAGAGCGACAGAACCGATCTCTTGCTTGAGCAGTGCCGCTGTGTATTGCCAACAAAGCGGCATCTGCCCTACCCAGTCTGCCTTCAACCCCTCGGGGGGGAGGTAAACCGTATCATTGTAACCATACAATTACGGAAACAAGCCTACGAGATAAAGTGCGCTTGCTAGCAGACTCCCCAGTCTTCCCGCCACCAAACAGCACACATGGGTACCCGTACGGATCCCTGTTGTTCGTTAGTTCGTGACAGGCACGGGTGAGCAATCGAAAGATTGGTCCCCGGTGCGGAAGGCTGGGTAAGGGGTAGAAGTGCGATATGAGCAGTCACGTGGAAAGCAATATCGCACTGAGAGTGGTAGGTATCCGGGAGTGGAATACGGACATGATCAGTATAAAATACTGTCAGTGTTGGGTCAGTGGGAATCGCATGGATGTACCCGACCCTTCTACCAGAGTTCACCACAACAAGTAAAGTCGTCTTCAACGTCAACAAGTGAAGTGAGAGAGACGATATACTTGAAAAATTAGGGCCAGACAGCCAATTGTGAATAAGTGGTAATTTTAAGGTGGGCTGGGTCGCCGACGAGGTGGTCGAACCCTGTTCATGCCAGCTACGACGCGATGTACTAGAGGATGCTGCCTAGGCAGAGCACCATCGAACGAGGTGTGAAACGTGGAAATAGCCATGGAGTACCCGGCAATGGTGGAGGTCATAAGGCTCTCAACCAAAACGAGGTTATAGTAACTCCAATATCCGGACTAAATCCGCAGAATAGGGATTATGAAATCCAACTATCTGCACACCAGCGCGCCCCACCTTTCAACACACTGAATGGGTGTCGAATCCCAGCCAGAATTGTGTCTGCAACGGTTGCAGGAATTCCGTGGGTTATACCCGACAGAGGCCAAGCCACCCAGTGAATCCGAGGATTCGGGTGTGGCGCCCCGTGCAGAGGGAGAATGTCTGGCCGAAGAGGTAATTCAATCCCGGCGCGGGATCGAACACCAACCTGACTGCTGTCAATTCCAGCACATTGATGTGCAGGTTGTGACTTCGCCTCTCAAGGCTGCAGGTCACCCAGAACATCGCCCCTAACCCGGTAGGGATGTATCTGGCTGGACTGAGAGCGACGGTGTCTCCAGGGGTGGGGACCCTCGGAGAGACGCCTGACGTCTGTCCATCTGACTGCGTGAGGTTGACAATTCCGCCCAGTTTCGTAAGAGTGACCAACACTGATCGTGAGGTCCCCAGACTCAACAGTTATCTGAAACCACGATGAGTCAGTCGCCTATGTAACGGGTGACAACACCGCACTGCGATCTGGCTATCTGAGCTGTAATAAACCTCAATTTGGTGAACACCCTTGGCACCGTAATGTAGCCTAAGGAGAGCACACGAAACTGGTAGCACGCCCCGTCAAACAAGAAACCGAAGGTAAATCTTGAAATCAGGGTGCAATGGAACAAGGAGGTAATGACCTCAAGGTCGATTGACGTCGCGCCAATCCCCTGTCTCGGCAGATGAGATCACCGAGCGGTGTCTCCATCTTGAAGGACAGTACCTCTATAAACTTGTTCAGCTCTCAGATGAGAATGGGTCTGAACATTCCGTTAAGTAATGGCAACGATGAAATAAATGGAGTCAAACCCCACATATTCCTGACCATTGGAAACCACCACACTGGTTGCCTAGCCCAGCAAAGACTGGATCTCGGCACGGAGTATTGTCGCCGTCTCCCGGGAAGCCGACACTGGAGTGTGTCGCTCCGACCGGTGTTTGCGGCAGAATATAGTAACCCCAGCAGTCGGCAACTTAACGTTTGCCGATGCCTGGGCACCTGAGGAATTCACGAGAAGCTCAACAGACTTCCGTATTCCTCGAAACGGTCCCGGGCGTATAGGCCCATAACCGCACTCATCATTTGGCTGGCACAGCTACCATGCAGTCCCTAGCCAGATGAGAGTTGCCCCCGTCAGATGCCGCCCAGAGTCGCCGACGAAAAAATTCCACCGGCGCTCTCTCCCCTTTCCACCAGCTCCCTCAGCAGGGCTGAGAGATGCGCCGAGTGGAGCATACAGCGTTGAGCTGTGAAGGGGAAAGAACGGCAGACTTAAGGGAGAGTGTGAGGCCTTGTCCCGGATGCCGTGCTGGAAGCAGGCTTTCCTCCGGGAGGCAAACTCCAACGGTTCGGGTATTCGACATGGACAACACCTGAGGCAACATAGGCGCGATTCTATCTCGCACTTGCCCTCAGGGACGAACCTACTTAGTGGTAAGTTCAAAGTAGCGAAATGAGCCGAAGCTCAAATCGATTTGTCCACTGTACGAGCCTGAACCCCGATTCCGAGGCACATGTGAGAAGCCTGACAATCAAGGTTTCACAAGCACTCAGACAGACCTCTGAGCGGCGAGGTGACCGTCACACCCGGCACACTCGATGGCATCTAGGTCAATACGTCGATAGACATCAGGCCGAGACCTGAACTACCGGAGCCGATACCTGAACTACCGGAGCCGGGAATCTGCGCCCTACCAGTGCCGAAGCCTGGGTCGGCGCTACCCACGGGGTTCAGAGAATCCGCAGAGCCGAAGCTCAGCTGTTCTAGACCGAACCCCGATCCCGAGATACGTAGGAGTAGCCTGATAAATCAGGTTTCCCAAAGTACTCTCCAAAAGCGCACTAAGCATAAAGTCAAACATAGCCTATAGCGCTATATAAATACCCATACATACACATGTATGTATATACATACACATGTATGTGTGTATATATATATACGTAAGTGCTCGGGTCGGCGGTTCGAGTTCGAACCCCGATCCCAAAAGACATGGGAGTAGCCTGACAATGCAGGGCTCCCCTGGTGTACATGGGTAGACCTCGGCGCGTCGAGGTGATCGGCAGCTCATCACACTCAACGGCCTCTTGGCCAGGGCATCGATAGACATCAGGCCGAGACCTGAGCTAACAGCGCCGGGCATCTGCTCCGTACCGGGGCTGAAGCCCAGGTCGGTGCTAGTCCGATCTGCAGTCCCGAGACACAAGGGAGTAGCCTGGCAATGCAGGTTTCCCCTGGTGGACACAGGTAGACCTAGGAGCGCCGAGGTGATCGGCAGCTCAGTGGAACCCAGACCGGGGCGCCGAGAGGAACCTGCCGATATACAGGTTTCCCGGGCAACCCCAACTGACCACTTGGCGCCGAGGTGTCCCCGAGCTGGTCGGCGCCTAGGCGACCGCCAGTCAGGGCACCAGGCGAAGACAGGGTGAAACCTGCATCGCCGGCGCCAGGCGCCCGTGACGAACCTGAGCCCGAAGCCAGGTCGCCACAAGGTGCCGAGGTGTCCCCGAGCTGGTCAGGGCACCAGGCGAAGACAGGGTGAAACCTGCATCGCCGGCGCCAGGCGCCCGTGACGAACCTGAGCCCGAAGCTAGGTCGCCACAAGGTGCCGATGGCACACTCACCTGAGCCGAAGCCAGGATCAAGCTGCCTGGGAGGAGGCGCGTTCTCCGAGCCACAGCACAGGCCGCAGCCAACCCCCCCCAGATGCGTCCGATCCACCCCCGATGACAGGCGTGCTGAGCTCCTTGCGGAACCCAGACAGCACCGTGTCAATCGGGGATTTCACCACAGACGACACCTGGTTAACTTACCTTCGAGATCAACACTTTGCGAGCCGAGCTCCTGACGAGCCCGGACATCGCGCTATCAATCATCGACTTGACATTATGTTGAAGAATATGTTGCTGCAATAGTGAAGCAAATTGAGTCATATTTAATTTAGCAACATTGTTTGCGCGGGAACGATAAAGGGATTTCCTTAGAAACCTAATATATCATCCCCCGCCTGAAGCAGATTAGTGAAAAAACATAAAATCTGCGTGTCGGAAAGAATGCGCGTGAGGCATAGAAACTCAGACAAATAACCACAACCTCGGCCTATGAGCCGTGGTTGTGTGTAAACGTATGAAATATTATCATAATACAACATAATGTAACAGGAATATTGACACAAGGGCGTTTATTATTAGCATCCTTGATCGTCGTGAGCGTCCTCGGCTAAACACCGGAGGCACACTTTATAACCATCCTGTGGCGGTAGTGTGCACGGCACAACGCACAGGGCTTAAACTGCAACAAACAGAACCACGCCAGTGTTACTAGCAGGAACTGTGAAGCAGCAAACACATAAACACAAGTAATAGCAAGAATAACCCGCACGGGCGATATATAAATGCTACAACATACAATGCAAAGCAGAAAAAGGCTAGCCACCCCTGCGTTTACATAGAGTAAAGTTGAGTGATACGAAACGAACACTATCAAAACTACCCAACAACGACTTACCACAAATTCGCTGAAAAGAAAGAGAATTTAGGCAAGCCTACCATATAATATGCAAACATAACATATGAACTCCCTACTACAAGTTACCAAGAACATATAGCAAGGAAACCACGATCGCACGGTCCGCCATTTTGCCTGCCACATGGCTGGAAAACAGAGAACCCACGGCAAAGTTACAACAAAAGATGAATGAAAATATCCACATATGACGTCCATCTAACGCCCGTGCGTAGAGAAAGGAACCATACATACAGATTGAGACTCTTTTACACTCATCGTATCGGTAGGAGAGCAAACTCGAAACGAACACCACGCACGTCTATTCAACAGAACGACAGCATGAAAAGTGAGGTACGAGGTAGACGGCGAGAGTTACCTGCTCTTGGCTGTGTTGGTCCGGTGGGGCCCTGTAGGGGTGGTCTCACAAGACAAAACGTGTTTTTTATTTTGTAAATATTATATTAAAAATTTAGTTACAACTGTCGTAGGATATAAAATGGACATTTTAATGCTTATATGTACCCCAAGGAGGACTTCTTCTGAAAAAGAATTTTGAACTGGTCCCTTACCCTGTCAGGAATGAGTGAGTATGGTTTTACACCGTTTTCAGCGATAGAACCCCGGGTCTTTGGTGTGACAAGTTAAAGCTTTACCCACCAGGCTACCCCAACGTCCCAATTTGTCAGCAGCAAACAGGAGTCAATATTATCAGTCAACCCTCAAACTCATATTATTTTTAATACTGATCACCTCATAATGGTTTGACCATGGTTTCTATACTCAGTTACAAGAGAAAAGGTGAGGCGAGGTGAAATTGGGTTTAACGTCGTGCTTGAGAATATTTCGCTCATATGACGACGTGCATGCGTGTGTATGTGTATGTGCGGCTGCTTGTACTAGCCCAGACTTAAGCTGGTTTTATAGTGCAAGCCCACTGAGATACCATGCCGCAGTGAAGCATGAACACCCCACTCAGACACATTATACTGACTCCGAGCCGACCAGTACTTGTTGTACCCATTAATGCTGAGGGCCAGGCAGGGACCAACAAGTAGCATATTTTAACGTCTTTTGGTATGACGCGGTCGGGGATCGAACCCGCGACCTTCCGCTCTCCCGGGCGGACGCTCTAACCACTACACCATGGAGGAAGTACAAGAGAAAAGGGAATCACGTAAAACTGATAAAGTGACGTCAAACTGCATGTCAGGAAAAGACTCCAACACACTCCGCCATCAAAGTGATTTAGGGACCAGTTCCAAAAACGATTCAATATGATCAGTAACAATCATAACTAATATTTTATTCAATACTAATCCCCCCCCATATCGGTTTCACCATAGTTTCTATACTCAGTTCCAAAAGAAACGTGAATCACGTAAAACTGCGATACAGTGGTGAATAAAGAGATTGATGTTTGCTGATGAAAACATTCAAACAAACAATGTGAGTCCTTAAAGTGAACACACAAATGGTCTTTATTCATAACCAGAGGTGTTTTGTGATACAGGGGCGTACAGGCGTAATGTACGCCTCAAAATCAATTAAGTACGACATAATATAAGATTTCAAGCGTATCGTGTACGCTCATAAATACCTTTGTACGTCTAACATTTAATTTCCGTGCGTATCGTGCAAATGGAAATCTATTTCAGATAAATACTTGTCAAGTTTCTTTTGCAAAACACGATTTGACACATGAGGAAACCCCGACAGTAGGAATCACTTGCGTTGCCATGCAACGATATGCGTCACTATTTTTCGATTGGCTAAAAACTACACTGTTCCTATTTATATCCAGTCGGACCTGACTTTTCGCGCATCACACGGTCGGTCAGTTATTTCTCACGTGACTTCAAATACAGATACATGGTTGGAAATAGTGATCGATGAATCGTCCAGACAAACCACATCACCAACTCGCTCACACAAAAACATGTCAGTACTCCTTCAAAATTCTCAGTACACCTCCGCTTGCAATATGATGTGTAAGTACACTCACACCCCCAAAAGTTATCTGGAGCCCTGATAATGTCAATCAGACATCATTAGATTGCACCATTTGGAAATGTCACTTAATAATCATGGGAAATGACATTCCAGTATTGAGTAGGGCTCCATCAGCAACCAACATGGAATCATCGGAACACACAACTGACAAGAATGACCATCTGAGTATTGAACACACCACGTAGCCCTGATTTATGTCTTGTTTCAGCTAATTGCAAACATTTGTAATATTCACATTTCTATTGGAGTTCAGTATATATTATCAGTGAGTGAGTGAGTTTAGTTTAGTTTTACGCCACACTCAGCAAATATTCCAGCTATATGGTGGCAGGTATATATTATCATGCATCGACACTGACCTCAAAGTCTCAATCGGACAACCACGGAGATAATATGTTATTTGTATGGTAATCCAACATGGATGATAATTACATTGAGTACAATTACATCAACCCATACTGACCTGAGTGTCCCTTGAGTGTGACAATGAGCTGGAAGCTGCTCTGTCCTATCTTCAGCACTGAGATCTGACCTGAGTAGTCGCCCACAAAAGCATATTTGGACTGTTCGTCAAATCTAGCCCAGAGTTAAGGTACTTCTATGTAATAAAGTCTACTTCGAGTTGTTAGCTGATTAAGAGTAGGCAGGCTGCAATAACGTTTTTCATAACAACACATACAGTGAAACCTGCCAACACCGGCACCTGTCTAATCCGGCACACTGTGAAAACCGGCATAATATTTTAGTCCCGCCATTTTACAAGATATTATGATCATTAAAACATTGTCTAATCCGGCACCTGTCTATTCCGTATTCCAGCACGACTTTCCGGTCCCAAAAAAGTAATTTTAAGTGTAATTAACACTGTCTAACCTGGCATGGGTATGAGCAGTCCAACCACGGACCCATAGTCAAATACACTAATTAATAATCTTGGCACGCTAGATAATCAGGAAGTAGTGATTGTGCGGTGAATCAAACGCTTAAAGCTGGCATGGGTATGAGCAGTCCAATCAAGGTCCCTTAATCCATTACACTCCTCGCTCTCCTCTCAGGACGCTAGATTGAGAGAGTGACAAGTGTAAATGGCAGCCATGTTGGAAAATGATTGACACTGTCTAGTCCGGCACCCTGTCTAAACCGGCTTTTTATTTCGGTCCCGTGGGGTGCCGGTTTAGACAGGTTTCACTGTATTACATTATTTTTTCTGTGTTCCATTTTATTAGGTTTAAAATATCATGTTTTATAGTTATTTGCATTGTTTAGCCTAAAGTCTGCACAGAAATCCATTGACAAACATTTGAAAATGCATGCTGATATCTCCCCTGTATCCATGGTAACAAAATGGCAGAAACTAACCACCCTGCATAACTGTTACTTAATTATGAATCAAAATAGGATCTGATTGTGCAATTAGAGTCAAATACTATCTCCAACATATTGCAATATGTAGAACAATAGAGAGGTACCACAGAAACATGCCTCACACATTGTAACCATGAGAGTTTCAAGCCCAAATCTTCAGCAGGTGACTACTTTAACCACTAGGCTACCCTTCCATCCCCTGTTTAACAAAAAAATTGGATCACAGGCCATGTTTAGGTAAAGTCAAGCATAAGCCATACCATCATTAAGTCAATAGAAATGTTCTTGTGAATGTGAAACAGTCCCTGGACTCGTGAATGTTTCAGTTAGAGTATAACTATTGATATATCAAGGCAAGCTTCCTCAGCCTCTGTTTGTACCACATGTGATATTTGTTTGTTGTTTAACATCCGATATGTTTTACTGGCATTTTAGAAGTTGATGCATAATAAGATAGATTCGTTACTTTATGGTTCACAACTTGTTTATTATATTATGATGTGATGTTTCGGTATAGATTCTTATACCGTTACATGTATATAAGTCGGTTCTGTGCTGTACCAAAACGTCGCATCATAATATAATAAAGAATTTGGCTATCCATAAAGTATCACACCTGTCTTGTTGTTTAACCGCTATATTTCAGCTATGCATTGTATTTTACAACAAGCATGGGTTGCTGAAGATCAATTCTAACCGCGATCTTCACAGTTCTCGTGAAGGATACTCTAGACATAGACACCACGCCCCGGCCTGGTACCCGCCAAGTCTGCGGCCGGTCTCGCTGCAGTGCCACATGAAGTACTTGTCCTTCCCACAGCTCAACACCCACTCACAGCCCAGGGAGAACTTGACACTTGTGACGCGGCCCTGGTGAGCTGAAACATGGAGGATATCAAGCTTGTCAGCTTGCGTGTGATGTCATAGACACGTAGATACAATGTCCGCGACATCCCTGACATTAGAGACCAACCTAAACATCATTTCTTTCTATTTAATATCAGAATATATCACCAGAATAGGGGCGGTGGGGTAGCCTAGTGGTTATTGTTATTGTTATTGTAGGATATTTATATAGCGCACATATCCAGGCAACTAGTGCATGCTCAAGGCGCTGGTATTGTTTTCCCTCGATCATTGGATGTCAATATCAAAGGCACAATGTATTATAAGTCTCAACTCCCTGGGCAGTACGCAATTCTTGCAGCCACTAGGCGCACCGAGTTATTGTGGCTTTCTCATCCTAACGAGGTACCGATTCACAGCTGGGTGGACTGCGACACATAGTCACAGTACTTTGTCCAAGTTCACTGCACGTTGCTGTGCCCGCAACTAGGTGTTTGCACGTATTCATGTGGCCACCATCTGGTCATATACCAATGGATTCGTGGGTTCTTTTAAGTGCACAGGGTTGTGTACTGTACACTAGGGGTTGTGACAACACTGAAAGAATCTGCACACAAAGTTGACTCCAAGGTTTTTACACCCGGGCACAGGTGGGCTCGATCCCGGCACCTCATGCTCACTGGATCACTAGCCTGGCGCCTTAGCCAGCTCGCCCACCGTGGTTAAAGTGTTTACTCATCACACCGTTCTAACACTGTTATCAAGCAAGTGATAAACAGAATGAGGATAGAGAAGCATATATACAAGCATGAGGAGATGTATTTGTTCAACTTCAAGTAATGTGAAAAACGTGATATTTTCAGGGTGGTATAGCCATGAGTGAAAATGTCACAGTTTTCATGTCCAGTATGAGTGAGGTTAACGCCTCTTTTACCAACATCCAGCAGGGGAAACCAGAAATGGGCTTCATACATTCTACCAATGTGGGGAATCGAACCCAGGTCTTCAGTGTGACAAGTGAACACTTTAACCACTAGGCTACCCCAATGCTCCCTATATCTTACAATATCTGTGTCATGATAACATAAACATGAAAAAAAAAATGGTGGATGATTTTGAATTTGACTAAAAACGTAAGGGGAAAATCTAAAGCAAGGATCCACTGTTATTCAAGATCATGACAAACTACAGATAAGAAATTTAGTTGGTTGGTTGGTTGTTTGGCGCCACGCAATATTCCAGCTGTGTCACAGTGGCCGTTAAATAATAATATTTTAATAATAATGTTTGGACCAGACAATCCAGTGACCAACAGCATGAGCATCAATCTACGCAACTGGGATACAATGACATGTGTCAACCAAGTCAGCGAGCCTGACCACCCGATCCCGTTAGTCGCCTTTTACGACAAGCATGGGTTGCTGAAGACCAATTTTAACCCCCGGGCTTTCACGGGTCTACAGATATGAGAACACATGTTAAATATTGTGACGTATCACATTACAATATGCCAATACTGACTGACTGACTATGGTTTTACGCGATTTTTAGCAATATTCCAGCAATATCAAGGCGGGGGAACACCAGAAATGGGCTTCACTACCCACATACCAACCCTGCCATACTGTCACATACCACATACCATACTGTCATGCTGCATGGGTACACCCTACCTCAACTGACTGACTGACTGAGTTTAGTTTTACGCCGCTTTTAGCAATATTCCAGCAATATCAAGGCGGGGGACACCAGAAATGGGCTTAACACATTGTGCCCATGTGGGGAATCGAACCCGGGTCTTCGGCGTGACGAGCCAACGCTTTAACCACTAGGCTACCCCACCGCCCCCCCTACCTCAACAATGGTTCCTTGTGTGTGACATACCTATCTCACCTCCCCCCTACAGCACACCCACAACCATCAACCAGCCATTATCTCAATTTTCACAACAAAAATGATTATACTATTATTATCATTTGTAGTTCACATCAGACAGGTTCATGTTGGTATGAAATGAATCAATGGTGAGATACAAGCTGGTATTGTGAATGTAGCTCAATGGATGTGAAATATGATATCTGTCACAGTTGATCAATTTATTTCCATCATTGAATGTGAGGAAAAATGCAATATGTTTTGAAAAAATATTAAAGCCTATCACTGTCTATAAAATACAATTGCTGATCCAACACAACGTTTTTTCACATGTTTGCATATAAATTACAATAAAATGGATGATTGAAACACCAGACAGCGAGGTCGTATGCACTGATTGTCTGTTATCGACATACCAAAGACCTAATGAAAGGTACTGCCATGTCCACGATAGTCATAATTTTGATTCCCGACTTCTAAAATATGTTTATTTGTTGTTTAATGCCGCATTCAGCAATGCTCCAGCTATATGGTGGCGGTCTGTAAATAATCGAGTCTGGACCAGACAATCCAATGATCAACAACATGAGCATTGATCTACACAATTGGGATACGATAACATGTGTCAGTGAGCCTGACCACCCGATCCCGTTAGTCGCCTCTTACGACAAGCATGGGCTACAAGAACAAGAAGATGAGTTACCTATATAGTCTCTAATGTGTGCCAATCTGTTGAAGTCTTCTGTTATAGAAAATTCCTGCAAAATAAACAAACTGAACAATGTTTTTCAGCAGATAATCAAGCCATAATCTGTATCTAAACTTAAATTATATGTGCGAGAAATTGTCTATATTGCTTACTTGATGTGCATTACCCGTAAATTACATCTTCGATCAGATTCAAAACCAATCACAGATGAAAGATATGCACGCAATAAATTGTGGTGCTTATTGTAATACATGATTGCATAAAAACTTGATTCAGTTTGATAACCATCACTTTCGCTAAGATATCTTGCACATGGCAATTCTATGATATGAGTCATTTTAAGGAGATTTGAAAGAATCTTTAAAAAACTGTGACATCTCAAATGTGATTGGAACATTTGTCACTTTTGGCCAATGAAAATTACATCTTCCTACAAATTAGTCGGAGAAAGTCATGATATTTACGTTCAGTAATTGAAACAGCCACATGAATGATATTAATATCTTGAGACAGTCACTAAATCCCATATATACACGAGACAAATCCATCAGCATGAAGTGCCTATATTCCTGAGAGTGAATATTAATTAAGAAATACAGTTCGCTCTACCACCATATATAGTGTAATAAAACACACTTTCGCCCTGAACTATTAAAGTTAATGTACGAGGACGCTTTCTTTTCTAAGATGCCAAATTTAATACTTTCTAAGGATAATTACGATTAATTTAAGGCAGAAAACAAACAACGGTGTCAGTGACCTAAATTAAGAATCCTCGCACAGGGCTAACTGGCGCGCTGTTCTACTGATGTGTCTGCCCCCCTACGTTAAGACGAACGTTACCAGAAAAAAACAAATGATATCAGTTTGATGACGGTTTACGTTCGGAATAATTATCTTCTCTGAATTGTTTTAATTACATCTGTCATTAACGTAAACCATATGGGGCAATATGAACGTCGCATTTCTACTACCAACGTAAGTTTAGATCAGTACATCCAGATGAAGCTGAGTAGTCAAGCGACATTCCAGGATTGCATTGTGGGAATGTAAACATTGCAAACGTTACCGTGTTGCTGAAAACTGGTGAGTCGAATTGACACATTTTAACCGTCGTAAAACATAAACGTAATGTTTCCACCAGTGATGTTAGCTGCGTGAAGCAACTGCAAACCAAGAAAAGGGATGCAATGGAGAAGTTTACTGTAGGAGGCCGTACGAGACGATGACAACTGACATGCATCGTGACGTCGCTTACATTGTGACGTAGTGTAAAATGGTTCGATTACGAGGGGGCACACTAGAATGGCGCAGTGACAGGATAACGTCATTTAATTGTTACGTCATCAAAAAACTTTACCTTTATTGTCCGACAATGTATGTTTTTTTCGATTGTTCTAACCGCTAGGCATCTTAGCAGTGTCAATCAAAAGGTTATTGCGAGAATTTGTCTCAGCATTGCTGCTGCTCCGACAGAACACAGATAGGCTATCACTACTTACAGATATAGTTCCATTATCAAGGCCTATGAAGATCTTCTTGGTTTCAGCATTGTAGTCCAAGGAGGCCGCCTCAGCTAAAGGAAATATACAGTGTCAGACAACATGCATAGACAACAAGTAGCAGTCACAATATATTCCCTTGAAACAATCAGAATATACACCATACATGGTACACCTGTGATGGAAATAGTGTCTATCTGCGTGCCATGGCATTGAAAACATTGATATGACACAGATGAAATATTTTCCCAGTGCATTGCTCAAATAACATGATACAAATAATACTTCACCTTGATTCATATAAAGGAAAATGTGATATATTGACCAATTCAAATAATTCATTTGTCAGTGCGCAAGACAGGAAATCCTATTTTGAATAACATAGTTTCACCGTTAGTTTATGGGTCCGGGAACAAATGAAGCTGATCTATTCTTGCAGTCATCATAATGTTTAGGAAATCCAGCTGTCGAGTGTTAATAAATCTCTACTGATTTATTAACAATAAATAGAAGTGACATAATTGTTGCAATGTTTAAAAAGGATCATCCAAAGGTATGGGCATGCTTATTTTCACACAGACACACCAAAATGATCAGTCCGGTGCCCGATGGCACCATGCATTTCTATCCCTGCCGTCTCTTATGCCCAGCATAGGGTGCAGGAGACCAATTCAGTGTGCGAAATTTATGCTGGTCCTGTGGTCCCTGGCTAGTAAAAATTCATCAGGACCACTAAATGATAATTTTGCAGTGGTCCTGGTGGCCAGTGAATTTTGTATTGACAGTTAAGTAAATCTATGAATGTTATTTTGGGCCAGTGAAGTACAGACAGGACCACTAATTATTGTCCACTCACTGGTGAAAGGTCACTTTCCCTGCAATTCTAACCCAGATCCCCAATAGTTAATTCAATAAAGTATTAAATATGAAGCAACACTGTGTGTAAAATATAAGTGGCATGGATTATTACTTACATGGCATGGAATGACAGATGCTGGGCCAGTACTGTCCTGTGTCTCGACGGAGCCATACCCTCAGCGTCCTGAAACAACATTATCACACAATGACAGGACAGACATATTGAAATATGTAATATTCAAAATACAACATGACATATACTGCAAAAAAGGGGAGTGGGAATTTCATAATTGCAGTCTGTGACATCTGCCACATGTTTGGAACAAAAATAATTTGGGAAGAGAATTTTATGGATGTTAGCTTCTTTATCATGAGGAACACAATGTTTTGGATTATATGCTTACTCCTTCATTCACCTGCTGAAGGAATAAGTATATACTCCAAACCAGTGTGTTCTTCATATATAGAGTAACTTTAGTTTTACACCGATTTTAGCAATATTCCAGCAATATCACGGTGGGGGACACAAGAAATGGGGTTCACACATTGTACACATGTGGGGAATCGAACCTGGTTCTTTGGCATGACGAGCGAAAGCTTTAACCACTAGGCTACCCCACCGCCCCTCATAATATCGAAGTTGACATCTGATGAAGGAGTAAGTACATGTATGTACTCTGAAACCTGTTCCTCATAACAAAGAAGTTGACATCCATAAAATTCTCGTCTTTATCATGTGTATCACTTCCAAATGCCATTCAAAGACCCAAATATAATTTGTTTCGGCAATCTTAGCTACTGATTAAAAGCCCATATTTAAGAGTAAAATCTACTGAGGATGTCACTGTCAAGTGATGGGTGTGTGCTAGTTGACATGTCATTGATGGGTGTGTGCTAGTTGACATGTCACTGCCAAGTGATGGGTGTGTGCTAATCGACATGTCACTGTCAAGTGATGGGTGTGTGCTAATTGACATGTCACTATCAAGAGATGGGTGTGTGTTAGTTGACATGTCACTGTCAAGTGATGGGTGTTTGCTAATTGACACATCACTGTCAAGTGATGGGTGTTTGCTAATTGACACATCACTGTCAAGTGATGGGTGTATGCTAATTAACACGTCACTGTCAAGTGATGGGTGTGTGCTAATTGACATGTCACTGTCAAGTGATGGGTATGTGCTGGATGACACTTCTCTGTCAAGTGATGGGTATGTGCTAATCGACATGTCAGTGTCAAGTGATGGGTGTGTGTTAATTGACATGTCAGTGTCAAGTGATGGGTGTGTGCTAATTGAAATGTCAGTGTCAAGTGATGGGTGTGTGCTAATTGACATGTCACTGTCAAGTGATGGGTGTGACCTAGTTGAAATGTTAGTGTCAAGTGATGGGTGTGTGCTAATTGACATGTCAGTGTCAAGTGATGGGTGTGACCTAGTTGAAATGTCACTGTCAAGTGATGGGTGTGTGCTAATTGACACGTCACTGTCAAGTGATGGGTGTGTGCTGGTTAACATGTCACTGTCAAGTGATGGGTGTGAGCTAGTTGAAATGTCACTGTCAAGTGATGTGTGTGACCTAGTTGAAATGCCACTGTCAAGTGATGGGTGTGTGCTAATTGACATGTCACTGTCAAGTGATGGGTGTGTGCTGGTTGTATGATTTGTATGTTTTATTAGAATGATTAGGGTGAGCGACTGAGTGAGTGAATTTGGTTTTACGCCTCTTTTAGCAATTGTCCAGCAATATCACGGCAGGGGAACCCCAGAAATTGGCTTCACACCTGTGGGGAATTGAACCCGGGTCCTCTGCGTCACAAGCGAACGCTTTAACCACTAGGCTAACCCACCACCCCAGAATGATTAGGGATTACTCTTTCTGATTAAAGCTCATGTACTTTTTTGGTTGAGTCCCATCTGGCATATAAACTCACACTTATCAGGCTCCTAATCAGTGGCACTCAAAGTCAGTGATCTAACCCACTCAGCCACCACAGAAAATGGAAATTTACCACTTACTTTGTGTACAAGAATTACAAGAATTCATTGACAGAGTGTAGTACAGATGTCCTGTATGCTTAACAAATGGTTATTCAGCATAAGTTTTCTTAAATATTCTATCTGCCTGGCACTGGCAGTCTTACGAACAAACTTACAACAAATCGGCAAAGCAGGAAAATGATCTGTCTTTAAACTCAAGAGTATGCATGGTATGGGCCATAGATTTAAATGTGAAATGTTTACAACTGACATTTTACATGTTTTTAAATGTTCCAATATCGCAATACTGCAGTCTTTGCAAAACATTCCATTTACAGCACTGCAGAGTCACATGATCAGTAACAGCTGTTGAACATCCTGTTAGAAGCTAACACATGACAATCCCACCAGCCATCTCATAGGAAGGAGCCATTTAAATCATCAACACTGATGATTAATATGCAAAACAATTCTGACAAAAATAAACATTTCAAAAAAGGAAAAAGAAAGCTCTTCTCGAGCCATTTGGAAACAATCCTGTGTGAAGGCTTTGTGAGTATTTATGCAATGTTAATAGATGACAAATTTTGAACCAGATACCATATGTTTAACATGCAAAATACTTGGGGAGTTGTGGATTTCAGTTTGCGAAAAGATATTACTTTTTATTTTTCACATTCTGTTCATCAGTGGGTTGAGTGAAAGATGCTTTACAGTTTACACTTCGTGTTCATTTCAAGGTAGTCAGGGTATAACTGAGCGTATGCTAGGCAAACAAGTGATTGATAGCATGAAACAACGATCCTGGGAGTAAGATGACCAGCGTTCCAATCCACAAAGCATTCGTAGCACAAGGCCATTCGTAAGTCTGTCATGGACTATAGAGTGAGTATAGTTTAATGCCGCACTCAGCAGTATTCCAGCTATATGGCGAAGGTCTGTAAATAATCGAGTCAGGACCAAACAATCCAGTGATCAACAGCATGTGCATTGACCTACGCTGACATACATGTCAACCAAGTCAGTGAGCCTGACCACAAGCATGGGTTGCTCAAGATCAATTCTAACTAGTGTTACGTAAGATTGAGGTAGCAGTCACTTTGTGGATCGGAACACAGGTCATACTCTGCAACCACCCTGTACCCATACAAATTGCCTCTAATGACAAACATTCTCTGCTTAGGACCTTGTCAGCTCTGTAATGCACATGTCAGGCGCGTAGCAAGCCATTTTTGTCATGTTAGCCCAATAGGTTTGAAAACTATATATTTAAATAGTATTGAGGGCTTGCCCAACCTTTTAGCAAAACTCGTGTGTAAGCCCGGGCTTTTTTTCATAATGGTAGCTATGTCCCTGCATGTGGATAAAGGGGTACCGGATGTAACCAAGACAGCTACATAAACAATAGGTATTAAAGTACGCCATGAAGCTACACAGATGTAAATAGGATACAAAGATTGGAAAAGTACTGTTAATGCTACTGTAACAATTCTTAGAGTATTCTCAAATAGTAACAGATTATCTTGAACAAATCCAGAGGTACAGATAAGCTGCGTATCTGCATAAATTACACAAATATTTATGTGAAAACTCAATTCCTATTGAGTCTATTGCGTACAAGTACACTTGAATTTCTGTAAAAACTCAATAAATGTGATCTTACATGCCTACACTCAAAAATGTAACATCTTACAATCTTAGCTTGGATAGATATAACTGAGGTATACTGAGAGGTTCTGTTTCAGGACATGATCTTGCAGTCTTTCCGTGGTGTAGTGGTTAGAGCGTCCATCCGGGAGAGCGGAAAGTCGCGGGTTCGATCCCTGACCGCATCATACCAAAAGACGTTAAAATATGGTACTTGTTGGTCCCTGTCTGGCGCTCGGCATTAATGGGTACAACAAGGACTGGTCGGCTCGGAGTCAGTATACTGTGTCTGAGTGGGGTATTCATGCTTCACTGCGGCATGGTATCTCAGTTGGCTAGCACTATAAAACCAGCTTCAGTCTGGGCTAGTACAAGCAGCCGCACATACATATACACACGCATGCACATCTTCATATGAGCAAAATATTCTCAAGCACGACGATAAACCCAACTTCACCTCACCTCTCATCGTTTCTCATATTACAGTTTAACTATAAATAACAAACACTAACATTTAAACATTATTATTTTTTGCAAGTAAAGGAAAATGACAAAATACCCCATTGGGTTTGAGTGAGGTGGGTACAATTTATTTGGTTACTCAAAGGAAAATTAGGATACTCAATTGAGATGACCACAAGCGAGTACATAACTCAATGACCCAAAATGTTATCTAGCTCTGCAAATCAAAAATATTCGTAACCTTTCGCTCATACATATATGTTTGTAGTACATAGATCTAGTACTACAAAGTCTGTACCAAAACCTGATAAGTCTACGGACACAAACAAGGCTCTTAAGATCAGTAGATTATAGAGTTAACATTTGCTATTATTAGCTCAGCTACCCAGGACAGACTTTGACTAGACTTACACTTTGGGTTAGTGGCTACTATATTGTATAATGACATATTGACACAGATCCCAGTCTTCATAAACCACTTTAGTCTGTTTCTGTTGCCATGGTAATAATTATCATGGTTATCTTAGCCTTACTCCAAATATTTCAAACCTGAACAAACATGTTTTTTAGAACAAAAAAAAAGATTTTCATCATATTGGCATTCCTTAATACATTTCAATACCGGCTCATAAATATTCCTTTGACAAATTCAGTTTGAGAAAAGGGACTTGATTGTGTTGATAATTGTAACCGTTGATTTAAGTTCCTGATACTGACTGTCCATGACAATCACAATAATGACCATTATTGGATGAGCCATAATTTTACAAATGTCATGAAAAATTGAGTTAATGTTGTAATTGCAAAGAATATTTCATACTGTCTGGAGGCATACGTCTGTCAAGAGAATTTGGAACTGCCAAACAAAGTAGTTGGACCTAGACAACAAATGCGCAAGTTGTCACCATATAATATTCATTGTTAACAAATGTTCCAGATGGCATAAATACATGCTTACATGTGAACATGCTTCCTGGCATGATATAGTAATTAGCTGTTCAGTAATACCAGACAAAGTTTATTGTACTGTACTGTACACTGCACAGGGATGTTTATTGGGATTGCCCTCCACAATCATACACCATACACCAAGAAGGTTACCATGTCCACAGGCATGGTAGGCTGATAATGAAAAGAAAATGAACTAAAGTTGAGGCAAAGTTCCTCACTCATCCAATCATACACATATGCTTTTGTTTAGTGGTGTGATGAAAATAAATGTAAACATTAGTGACATGGTGTAAGATGTACGTGTAGCCCGTCTAGTGTATGACATCAGCTACTCAGCCGTCAAGCCTTTGTATACATAAAGACCGTGAACGTCAGATGATCATGACACACCACTCTCATGACGATGTCATCGTCACATCGTATTTTATAACATGACCCATTTCATACGATTATCTTGAGGAGTTATTCTTATTTTCAACATCAAACACCCCCTAACTTGCTCATACCCCTTTCTACTGTGTTGGATTTACAAATCTCTCTCGGTATATTCTTAATTTATCACACAGAGAACGTAAACAATGCATTCTGCCAGGAAGGAGGCGTTTCTGATATCATACGGGGTGATGATTTGGCAGTCATTTGACCATACTCACTTGTCGTCACTGACACTTATGACACCATCTTCCCGAGGGATAAGCACTGCCATGTTGACACTGTCGCTGCATCCTTCCAGTTTGTTTATAAGCATTGGTTTTCTGACATTTCCAACTGGTTTTCCAGCGGCTGGCTTGATTTCAGCCGCCATTTTGTTTTTGTCACGTGATCTTGTTTGCAGGACTGCAGTCGCGTGCGAGAACGCTGGGTACGAACTCGCGCTAAAATCAAAAGAGGCATTTAATTTTGAAACAAAAGAAAAAAAATACGTTATTATATGGATATCGATAAATGGATAGCACAAAAGTAATTCGTCTATTGCCTTTTCTCCTGATGTTATATTTATCGTTTATCCATCTGACTGAAGAAGTATATATAGTTAGGCCATCACAGTCAGATGTTTTTATAGCCTTTTGTTTACGCACTGTTTTATGAAAAGGGGCGGTGGGGTAGCCTAGTGGTTAAAGCGTTGGCTCGTCACGCCGAAGACCCGGGTTCGGTTCCCCACATGGGCACAATGTGTGAAGCCCATTTCTGGTGTCCCCCGCCGTGATATTGCTGGAATATTGCTAAAAGCGGCGTCAAACTAAACTCAGTCAGTCAGTCAGTCAGTTTTATGAAAAACACTTCTAGATGGTGTCGTCTCAGGACGCCGACCTTTCGATTTTCCACTAGTCTTAGGACGCCGACCTGCGGTTTCCTTTGAAGGTTAGGTTCTGATTAGGCGTAATTAGGGTTGCGGATAATCTACTCTAGATGTTATAATACGGTGAACTCGTCGCACTAGGTGAACATATCTCAGTGGAACGCAGTGGAACCACCACAACTCAGATTGGCCAAGAACCAGCAACAACAAGCTGGTCCAGTACGCTGCTGGCCAGAAGCGTCCGTCCCAGAAGAAGAAATACAGGGACTTGGAGCCACGACTGGATGACATCCGTCACCAGCTCAGACAAGGGACACTGTCCGTGAGACAGTTTGCTGATTCAGCACTCCACCTGTTGCATTTGGGTTAAAATCTGTGGATCAATCTCTGTGAACAAAATGTGTGCCATATGTATCATGAATACGCATCGGATATGCGATGTATTTGTTAAAAATATCTCGTATTTACTTGTGTGAATCATTGTAAAAAAACCCGTTAAAATCTGTCAAGTGCGTCTGTTGATGAGTGCTTCAAGTATGGAAATAAACTGATAAAAATATAAACTGTTGTCGTCTTCTCATTAGGTGTGCTCTCATCCGCATATTTATTTAATCTCTTCTGCCAACTCGTTGATCCTTCATTGTCATCGTAATCCTTTATTAACTGGCAAAATGAAACTAGTCTCAGGACGCCGATATTTTGTTTCCACTCAACCGTGCAGTTTGGTCGAAAGGTCGGCGTTATGAGCCTGAACCTTCTAGATGTATCAAGGAAAATAGTATCAATTTCATATTCTTATATTGTTCCTTCCATAGGCGGATCCAGACCCCCTCTCTGAAAATGCTGTATTCGCCCTTGCCTTCGTGTGCAGTGTTAAACTTAAATTGTCGTGTCTGTTAAACGTGTTTACCTCCAAAGTTGCATATTTCTATTCTTTTTTCGACAGAAGAGAAAACTGTTTTCGTTATTTTAAGTTTCAAAGCTAAACCAATACAAATGTAATGCCAGCGGTGTTGTAATGTACGTTATGGCAACTGTTTCCAAAACTCGAACATAATGTCCTATGGTTACAGCAGGCGATGAGGTAGCCTCGTGGTTAAAGCATTCATCTTGTCACTGCAAGGCCTGGGTTCGAATCCCCACATGGGTACAATTCGTGAAGCCCATTTCGTGAATCATTTCCTATATTGTACATGCTGGTCTCGATTTTAATCCCCTGGATGCGAGAGGGACATATATGTCCTTCCTCTTCAACCCTTAATTTGAAGTCCAATAAAATTCTAAACATATCACGCACCACATGGGCTTGTAACGCTAAAAACTGCCATCAAGGCAGGGGCTTTTTGAGAAGGTGTGCGTGTGCGTGTGTGTGTGTGTGTGTGTTTGGGGGTGGGATGGGGTGATGCGCACACACGAAAAATGGGGGTGCACACTTCATTTTCACGAGTCTCAATGATCAAACACACCCACACCATCTTCCCATTCTGCCTATACAGTCCCATTCTGCCTACACGTTAAAACGACATAATACGGTCCAGTGATCAGGAAGTAAGGTTAATGTGCTGACCTATTCTACCTTTACTAAAGTGAACCTGACCAAAAGTCAACAGTAGGCAATACGGGAAAAATGACAAGAAATATCTTACCTTCATGTAAAATACTTTCATTTCATTGGTCAATGACGCTTTAACAAGTTTCTGTGTCACGCCTCCCAGGAGGGTGACAACTGGAAAAAATATGACCAAGTTCTATGGATGTTCAACGTCTTTATTGCAGTGAACACTCATTGCAATAAAGAAGTTGAATGTCCATAGAACTTGGTTTTCCTTCATCTATACAACTTCTAAAATGCCTCTCAGAGAAGTGGAAAATATATTACCCGCTGCCACGGTAACCGTCAAGCTCTCCGCCGAGAAGCTGAAGCGCTAACAATCGTATGACGTCATAATATGACGCATGCCGCGCCCGGAGTTCGAAAACCGTTCGATCAGCTGTTTTTTGTGTTCACTTTGTACAGATTTACTTTACCGACTTTCACTGCTTTATTTAAGCTATTTTATACATTGAGTGGTTTGCACACTCAACTTAAACATAATTAACCATTTTTATAGCAGTTTCAAGCTTGTCAGAATATGTTTCACTGAGTTTAAAAATCCAGTCGAGAGACAGACGCCATTTTGTTTACACGTCATATAGTCGGTCGCGATCTTAACATAAAATAATATGATGTTTTTTACATTTACCATGGCGGTAAGATAAATACGTTGTATGCTTCTCCCTCGGATAATACGGTCTGATGTACGCCTTTTTGTAGCAGTGTCATCCCTCGCCTACGGGCTTGGGTGACACTGCTTAAAAAGAGGCGTACATCAGACCGTATTACCCTCGAGAGAAGCATACAACTTTTAGTGTTTGTAGATATAAGGCATCTTTATTCTTTCTGACTGCATTTCATTCATTGGAAGCGACCCTTGCGTGCACAATGCACACACTTCCAATTAGAAGATAAACATACTGTGTTGGAAAATCAGAGGTATATGACGAAAATATAATAGCTCTATTTTTTTCATTTTGAATAAAATATTTAAAGCTGTTGTAAGGGGGGGGGTTGAACAGAATATCCGCCATTTTCTTTTTATGACGTACCATAGGTGTGACCTTTGTGTGACCTAATCGATTGTTGAACCCCACCCTCCTTGGGGAGTCCGGCCCAGGTGTGTGTGTCACCTTCAGGTTCACCTTAGTGGTCTGTGATTATTATTCAATTATCTTATGAGTGGTATGAGTTTGCCGACTCGAGTGTTCACACAGCTTAGACTAATGCTTAGTCTCTGAATATATATATCATTTTGATAGTAACCAACAAGCCCGTTTAAATTGAAAAGGAGCCCTAACGACCCCAGAGATTCAGAACCTGAGGAAATCTAGACTTGCTTTATTTAGGGCTTTAGCACTGCAGAGAGGGCATGTGGCAGTAGGGAAAATAATGTGGTTCAGGGACTGTGAGACAGACTAAGCATACGTGTTCAACGTAGAATTAATATCACACTATGAGGGGGAATTAGCTGCGATTTCTTAGGTCAAAATATCAGAGCGCATTTTGTTAAATCAAAGTTTAATATACGCTGTCACACAAGGAACAAGTATTTTACATTTCTGTCAACAATAAACGGTTGTAGCTGTTAAAATTCATGTGGGCCGTATATGCGTGAATTGGGTGCTGTCTATAGGCACTAATACATAACACTATGCTATTCTGCATAGCACAATCGCTTGCTCGCTGAGCCGTAATTGAAGAGACATTTGACAGCCGTGACTGGATGAAATAGTGTAAGGTGTTATGTTTGTTAAAAGCACCTCCATCCAGTCATTAAAACTGACCACCATTTTTAAGTATTTAATGCTGTCATTTGTATCAATTATGCTTATGCGTGTACAAATATGTTCCAGTAGGTGACAGATGGTGCGGACCTGGGAGGGTTGATGTGTTTAGCTTCCTGTGTGTGACTTCCTGTGCTCGGTTAGCCGGTTCAAGCTGACCAGAAATTGTTTTATTGTAATTTTTTGGTCAGACTGTATTCATGTGTACATGGTTGGTGATAATTTTCAGCGTGGTGTAGTGTCACATACGGTCAGCTTTCCGCTGTTTAAAGGTCAGAACGAATCATGAGTACATGGCATGGATAATTTTCAATGTGATGTTGAATGTATGCTGACAAGTGGTCAGCTTCCGTTATGAAGGGAGACAAGTCGAGGGGTTAGAGCCAGAACCACTTATAACCACACAGGCACATTTCGAGAAACAGCACTCAAATGTTTGGACAGTTATAAAAAAATAAATAATCAATTATTGTTTACTGTTTTGTGACAAGGTGACAGAGTATGCTGGTGCATTCATGTTACTATACAACCATAAATATAATCAGCCTAATTAAATAGGTATGGCGAAAATAAACTTTAGCTTGTTCTGGCGTAAATGTAAAACACTCGGGGCTCTGTAAACATGAGAGCGAGAACCAGTTAAATTAGAAACACAGTGTATGGCAGTTAAGAATATATTGAGAATATGTCTGTCCCCGAGTCAAGAATCCGGTTATCTTTAAACAGGGGATTGTGGCATAGTTTGCGGCTACGATTTCCCTGTGTCGCAGTTTCCACTAACTCGGGGAGCATTATCTTTGCCCCAACAATTGTATCAATGTGGAAGCCAACTAAAAGCAATGACCCCTGATCTCAAGATCACCCATATCATCACAGCCGCCAACCACTGTTTCCTTTAAGTCCTGTAACCATATCCTGCGGTAAAGCTGTTTAGGCAGTATCCCACATTCTCAGCTGGTGGCTGGAACCATTAACCAGCAGTAACTGCCTTTCTGTTATTGAATGCATTTTACTTATAGCTCGCCTTAAATTGTGCTTGTGAGATTTTATCTTCACATGTTGTTATCACTGAAGACATCAGTAATTGCTTAAACCACCTTCAAGACTTTCTTTTAGACTTTTCTGTTAGATGACA